TATATATATGAAAAAGTAATAACACGGTTTGCAGTTTCCTGGTTTTCTGTATAAATTGGTTATAAATTGTGATCTGATCTTCACCAAAGTTTAAAATATCAACAAACACAATATTTCTAAGCTGACAAAATACAAACAGTCATAATATTTCATGTCTCCACTGAACACACCCATTAAACATACAAAGTGTTGGTAGAAAAAGTAATGGCAAACACTAGGCTTCTGATGTCAGTGTGCTATTCACAAGCAGCATCAGCTGATGTGAGCCAGGCCTCACAAAAAAGAGATCTCAGAAGCCCTACAATCAAGAGTTGTTGATTTGCATGTAGCTGGATACAGTCATCTCAAAGACTTTAGATATTCATCGGTCCACAGTTAGACATACTGTATCTATACATGGAGATGATTTGGTACTGTGGCTACTCTCCATAGAAGTGGGAACCCAGCCAAGATCACTCCAAAGGTGCAAGGCAGAATGCTCAATGAGGTAAAAATGAACCCTAGAGTAACAGCTAAAGACTTGAAGGATTCACTGGGGTTTGTTAACATCTCTGTACATGAGTCAACCATACACAAAATATTGAACAGGCATGGTGTTCGTGGCAGGACACCACAGAGGAAGCCATTGCTCTCCAAAAATAACATTTCAGCACACCTGAAGTTTGTCAAAGACCACCTTGACAGTTCACAACACATGGCTGAGCTGAAGCATTTCTGTGAGGAAGAATGGTCCAAAATTCCTCCTAAACATTGTGCCGGTCTGACGCCTTTGCCGTTACCTTTTCCACCTTCACTTTGTATGTTTAATGGGTATGTTCAAAACAGACATGGAAGATCATGACTTTGTATTTTATCATCTTAGAAATATTGTGTTTGTTGACATTTGTGACATCAGATCACATTTCATGACCAATTAATGCAGAAAACCAGGAAATTGCAAACAGTGCCATTACTTTTTCTTGCAACTATATAAATAAATATAAAAAATATATATATGTATATATTATGGTAAATAAAAGTGTAAAATGGCAAGGCACAGGATTGTTACTTTTTAACAAACCATGTGTTAATAACAGCATGTGGTTTCTGCATTTATGCATCTAAATATCATTTACACACAAAGACCTGAAAAACTGCAGAAGTTTCAGAACCAGTGCTGCTTTAATGAGTTGGTTCTTCTAAATTACAAAATATATGTTGGCTATTTTTTCATTTGACACTTGCTATCGATCACGCAGATCATTCTGATTTTGTTTAGCTCTCCTTCTGAGATATCTGTCCGTAAGGTTCCTGCCTCCATCCACTGAATGGAGTTTTGTTTGTGGTGCTCACAGTATTCAAAATTGGATTTAAATAATGTAACATCTTGCATTTCCAGAAACCATGTTACTCTGTATGACTTTAGACCTACTTCTGAAAAATAGTCAGTATGAAAACTGAGTTCTAAACATTATGTTACGTTGGTCATCCACAGTTTCTGGATAAGATGATGAGATGCTGTTAAAAACTGAAAAAAAATGGTGTGAGCGTCACAAACAAAATTCCCTTAATCTTTATTATTGTATTGGGATTGAAGCAGAAAATTCAAATATGTACACTGCAACACTGGTATAGTTAAACAGTAGAGGTAAAAGAGAAAATGATTTTGTAATTAGTTTAACTGACCACGCGACAGTGGGGTGGTGGGTAGAGCCGTCATCTCCTAACCAGAAGGTTGAGGGTTCGAATCTTGGTGCCTGCAGTCTACATGTGGAAACGTCCTTGGGCAAGACACTGAGCCCCCCAAGTTGCCCGTGATTGCGGCACGTATGCACGCAGCAGCCCGGGGCCAAAACAAAGTTTCGTTGTACGTGTCACAATGTTACAATAAAATAAAGTTGCTTCTTCTTCTTTAGAGCTATGTTGGAAAATGTTTTATGAAAAGCAAACTCTCAAGTTCACACATTTCTTCACGGCTTTTACAATCAGCGACTCTCATGAAGCAGGTGTAGAGTAAACATTTGCAAAAAAAAAAAAAAAGTTATATTAATCAGATCATGAATGATAAATGAGACGACGTGGCCCGCGGAGAGCAACAAAAGCCCACTCTTTGTGTTTCTCAGTGGCAAACCTCAGTTGTGCAAGTTGGCAGCGGCAGACCGATGTGTGTGCATGGGAAGGTGGACTCCTCAAAACCGAGCCCCACTGCCATGTCATAACTCACTGTCAAAGTCAGCAGTGTTAGGATAAAGGGGAGGAGGGCTTTATGTGTGTGTGTGTGTGTGTGTGTGTGTGTTATGGTGGGGTGGTTAGCTCAACTTTAACCTCTCTCATTCTTTTGATGTTTTATAGAGAAGGACATGATGAGATGTCTTCTACTATGGCAGGTCTTAATGGAGTACATGTAAGCGCGTGCACACACACATTTGGTTTCATTCCCTGTGGGGACTTTACATTGACTTACATTAATTTCTTGGATACTTACCATAACTTTACTTGCCTAACTCTAACCTGAAACCAAGTTGTCAGCCTAAAATGCATTGATTTAGGTGGTGAGGAAGGCCAAGTCCCCACAATGCAAGTGTGTACACAGGTTTCGGTTCTGACAGTGTGAGTAATACCAGGGGTGCGCACACATACACACAGCAGTCTTGACATCATCTTGACCCTGGAATGTGGGAGAGGAATGCAAGGCCATATCAGTCTAGGAGATCAGATTCTTGCCATGATCAAACGTCCTGTAAATGTGTGTGTTGTCCTGCCTGCTTCTTTCATGACATCATCACACAGGCTTTCCTAATAGCAATGGCGCATAAAGCTTTTTCAACCCTCGATTTTAAAGGAAGATCACAACATCAATCTTTCTCTGCCTTCTCTAACCAGCGGCATAACTCTTCCTGGGTACAGCGACAACGATATGATTTATCAAACTGGACCGTGACGATGAATACAAACCCGTGTGATAAACACAGATTGAAAGGATGAGAACACAGGAGCTGTAAACCGCTGCTAATATATTCCAAACAAAATCTTGTTTGAGCTAGTTCTCTTCCTTCTTCTCTCCCTCTCCTACACACACACACAGACAGCTGCTACCTATCAGCACCTCAGTCACTCCAAGCCAGTAGCTGTTCCACTGTTTTGACTGTAATACTTCCTCCTCTTTCATTACTTTTCTCTTTCCCCTCAGTGTGTGTGTGTGTGCATGTGTTAGCGAGGAAGAGAGAGAGATCCGTCATCTTTGTTATGTTTTGTTTCTGTTCCACCTGTGCTAAGCTCCAGCTGCCATGTTTGGAGTTTCATGTTTCAGGTAACACACACACGCTAAGCTTGGAGGGCAGAACTCAATGTACAGAGTGTCTTTAAAAAGAAAACTGTGTGTGTGTGTGTGTGTGTGTGTGTGTGTGTGGCCAGAGTGTTGGCATGAGGGAGGACGTCTGGGTGAGATTTTAATTAAAGTTTGAGACAAAGAGGTCATAAGCCATACACCCCCTCCTCTACACACACACACACACCTTATACACACACACTCACACATGCACACAATGCACTGTTTTCTCTCTTCCCCCTCCTCTCTCTCATTCCATCCCCTCAGCTTGATGACTTTTCCATGAAAGGCTTTTTCATTAATCCTACCTCAGGGAACCGGTGCTCTCCAACCTCACACACACATACACAAAACACTCTTATGCACAACACACACATAGACCTCTCTCTACGGGTCACTTTGATGTATCAACGCACTTGCAGACTAAACACAAAATTAGGTTCCAGTTCTTTATGCCCTCTAAAATGCAACATATACAAAGGCATACACACACTGGTACACACCACACACAGGCCATTAATTAGTGTGTGCAAATAAACAGTAGTAAGGAACAGGGAAGTGGCTGCAGTAAAAACCAACCACAGCCTGTCTGTGTGTTTTATTTCCCCCCACTCATGTTTGCTTCTGCATTTCTGTGCGTGTTCATTTGAGGTGTATCAACACAAGGTACAGTGGAGTTTGTGTTGCTATAGCTCCAAACTTGAGACCTAAAAATACATTTCCTGCTTTTGTTAAGCACAGTATGCTGCTTTATATGCACTGCAAAAAAAGTATTGTGTGTGCACCCTGGCTCCAAAAGAACAACACACACAAACAGAAATTCACAGCACATGCCTGCTGTCTACCTGTCATGATGGTTGTGTGAATATGTGTATTAAATACATTAAGTATATTATGAGCGACTACATGAAGGAACCTGAGTCTTTTACTGTCTGTGTGCCTGTGTGTATGTGTGTGTGTGTGTGTGTGTGTGTGTGTGTGTGTGTGTGTGCGTGCATGTGATATCTGATGTCAGCTGTCACATCCCAGTCGGTCTGGGCCCATAATAAGAGACAATAATAACAACTCATTAAAACTGAGGGCAGGAACTGTGGAGCTCATCGGCTCATCAAATTAACCTTTGAACACTTCATACACACATACACACATGCCAGACAAAATCACACACCCACATGCTTGTGTGCGCTCACAGACACACACACTCACTACCTGTTTTACTCCCACACTTAGTGACTGCACAATCTTTTTCTCTGTCTTTTTGTCTGCTTCCATCTCCCCCCACCCTCAGCCAGTGGGTGTGTCAACAGGGGATTGGTCCTTTCTGCTGGGTAATTGATGAATTATATGCAATATGCAAATGAGGCGCCATTAATCTCCTGACTGACAGCTTCGTTTATGGGGCCTTAATGACGGCTGGATTAGATTCTAATTAAAATCTGCTCAAAGACACCCCACGCTAGGAAGCTGCTGCTGCTGTTCTGTCCTTTTTTTTTTTTTTTTTTTTTCCCGTCTTTTCTCACTCTTTGGACTCACCCTCTATATATCTTTTGTCTCGTGTTTTCCTCTCACTTTACACCTCTTCATCTTTCCCTCTATCTCCTTTTTCATCTTTATTGTTTTTTCTGTTTCTTTTGCTCTGGGTCACACCTTCTTCATCTCCTCTTTCTCCTCTCTTTTTCCCCTTTTCACTCACTCTGTCTTTTCATATCACACACACACATGCGCACCCACATACGCACACTTGCCCACAGATTCATGTTATCCTATGTCAGGCTGGTATGAACGGAGATGAGCTGCGCTGGTTGTCATTAAGCCTGATGTGGCCCGTGTCATTTCCCCTGTCAGGACATTCACACCGTTTAGTCAAAGCCAAAGTGATGTCTGACAGCTTTCCACATACTTCCTCCAGGATTGATTGAGCATGCCTAGCTCAATCAAACCATGTGAATCTGCTTGTAGTCACAGCCTTTACTGAGAAAATGTGTGACATGGTGGGAAAAAGGGAACAAATGACCAAATGAGGGCACGATGGAGAGGCTGGGAGGCAGGCAAACACATTTAATAAGCAAACAAACGAATGAGTAAGCTGAGCAGTAATGAGGTGCTTTATTGATGCCATAGGGAAACTCTTATTTTGCTTGCTCGTATCCAGAGGGAGGTCAGATTTGCTGTACAGCAGCCTTCCTGGAACCGGTCAG